GGCCAGCCCTGAGCTCCCCCTGGCCAGCCCTGAGCTCCCCCCAGCAGTGACCCCCCCCAGCCAGCCCTGAGCTCCCCAGCAGTGACCCCCTGCCCCACCAAACCAGACCTGAACTCTTTTCCCTCTGGCCAGCCTTGAGTTGCCCTCGGCTGTGCCCCCCTCCAGTGCCCCCCATCACCGGGTGGGGCAGGGACAGAGTAGCTCGAGTGGGCTCTGTGCTGAGTTTGCTCCCCACCGAGATCCCAGCTGCATCCTCCTGCAGGGACCCCTGGTCTCTGGCCCGTGGCAAGCTGGGTTTGCTCAGTGACCTCCCATCTCCATCCCTCCCCACGCAGATCCAGAGCATCACGGATGAGTCCCGCGGCTCCATCCGCCGCAAGAACCCTGCCAACCCCCGGCTGCGGCTGAGCGTCCCGGAGGAGCAGGTGGGCGACAGCGAGGAGAAGCCGGAGGAGGAGGTAAGGCTGCATGCTGGGGGGCCGAGCCCCACAGGATGGGGAGCTGGGGGTCTGACGCTGCAGAACTGGAGGGTTATGGGGAGCGAGCACCTGAAAGGGGGCCAAGTGCTGTGGGGCCAGGGGGCACTATGGAGGCAGTGAACTGCAGGGTGGGGCTGAGTACTGCGGGGTCTGGGCTGGCAGGGCCAAGTGACATGGGCCTGGGGCCCAGGGGTATGGCAGGATGGGGGGCTGGGAAGACCCCTCCCCACTTCTGACGGTGCTGCCCGTGGGAGCCAGCTGAGGTCACTCAATCAGGTTGAACTGCAAACAAAACAGGGCAGACAAACCCCAAAAGCTGGTGGTTATTCCAATACTTAGATTTACCAAGCCACCACAAAACAGCTTCTATAGTACCTCACTGGTCACTTAGAAGTCCAAACAATGCAGTTCCCTTAAAGTACCCAGCCTCAGGCCTCCATCCTGACACACCTGTCAGATATGATGATGATTACTGAGAATCTTATCTCATCATATAAAAGAAAAGGTTCTTCCAATCCCAAAGGATCAGCCACATACCCAGGTTCAATTATAACTTAGATCTTACCCAAAATACACGCTTATAGCCAATTCTTATAAACTAATCTAAAATTTATTAAAAAAGAAAAAAGAGAGAGAGTTGGTTAAAAGATCAATATACAGACAGACTTGAATTTAATTCTTGAGGTTCAGATACATAGCAGAGGTGATCTTGTAGTTGCCAAAAGTCCTTTTAGAAATAGTCCATAGGTTATAGTCCAAAGTCCATATTCAGGGTGGCTCCAGTCAATGACTGGGGATCTCAATCCTTGTGGCTTAAAGTTTCCCCCTCTTGAAACCCAAAGCAGATCTGAGATGAAGTAGGATCATGTCCCAGGGTTCTTATACATTTCCAGCAGCCTTTCTGCCTGAGAAAACAATAGGCTTAACTCTCCTTCTTCCAAACATCCTGGCAATGAGCACAGGGTAATTTATCCATTAAACAGTTCAGCTACAGGTTACCACAACCTTCAAAGAGACATAGAGACAATAATACTATTTCCCTCAAGTATCATCATAAATGTTAATATTCCTTTTTTGATCTTTGAATTAAAGCTATAGCAATAGACAAGACTTGTTTGCTGACATCACAAGACCTGAGCAAACATCTCCCCTTGAGATCTCTAACAATGCAGACTTGCATTTCAAAGCTCTGTTCATTTACAGATCTTCCTAACCAGTCCTTAAAGTTCACACATGGGTCAGGTCAGTCTGTGAGTTAATTAACTCTTTCTGGCCCTGTCACCTTTCAATGAGAGATTATATTATACTAATAACATCACACCGCTCTCACCCACTCCCTCTGTGCAGGTGCAGCTCATCCACGATAAGAATGCCACGGCCTTCGCCAGCAGCCCCCAGTCACCCGGTGACGAGGTGGAGACGGCCCCTGAGAAGGTGCATCTCACCTGGACCAAGGAAAAGTCTGTTGCGGAGAAGAACAAGAGCAAGAGCCCCATCAGCCCCGAAAGCATCAAGGACTTCTTCAACATGAAGCCGTAAGTTGCCCCCGGGGTGGCCCTCAGGCCCCTGCACTGCACCCCCCGTCAGACACTGGTCCCCAGCTGAGCCAGGCAGCCTGCCCAGCGGGCCTGTCCCAGGCAGCGTTGGCATGGGCCTGCCTGTGTCCACACTAGAGCTGAGCCTGAGAGCTGGCAGACGGAGGCCGGGGAGCTCAAGGCCAGGGCCGGCTCCAGCTTTTTTGCCGCCCCAAGCGGTGAAGCCAAAAAAAAAAAAAAAAAGAAAGAAAGAAAAAGCCGCGATCGGCGGCACTTCGGCGGTGGGTCCTTCACTCCGAGAGGGACTGAGGGACCCGCTGCCGAATTGCCGCCGAAGACCCGGACGTGCTGCCCCTTTCCATTGGTGCCCCAAGCACCTGCTTCGTTCACTGGTGCCTGGAGCCGGCCCTGCTCCTGGCAGATCTGGGCTGCGCAGGGCGGGTGTGGAGCTGGTGGAGACCAGCACAGCGCTGTGCCCAGGGCTGCTGGGAAGGGGGAGGCTGGCAGACATGGGAGCTGAGCAGTGAACAGGAGCATGTGCTCCAGGAGGTGGAGGCCGGGGCGAGGCAACGCGGTGCTGACGAGCTCTCTCTCTCTTTCCCCTGTGCTGCCGCAGGGAGTGGGAGAACCTGTAAGTCTGAGTTGTGTGTGTGTGTGTTCCATGTCCCAGCGCGGAGGGGAGCAGGTGGGGGCTGCGGGATCCTGCCACTCCAGTGCGGGGTCTGCGCCCCACATCGCCCCCTGCCGGGGGTCCTCGCCTGCCCCACACATCGCCCCCTGCCGGGGGTCCTCACCTGCCCCATACATCGCCCCCTGCCCGGGGTCCTCGCCTGCCCCACACAGCATTTTCTGCCAACAGCGGGAAGAGACTGAACCTGTCTGGCTGAGCCTGGTCAGAGCCCCAGGACTGGCCAGTGCCCCAAGCTTGCCCCATTGGCGGGGGCAGCCCGGGGCCAGCGCTGCCTCGGGCACCTCTTGAGACATGCAGGGGTTGCTTGTTCTTGGAAGGCCCCTCCCCCATCTGACAGCAGTGTGGGTGGGGCTTTCTGTGCCCCTCCCCCATCTGACAGCTGTGTGGGCGGGGCTTTCTGTGCCCCTCCCCCATCTGACACAGCTGTGTGGGTGGAGCTTTCTGTGCCCCCCCACACCACCACCCGCTCTAAGGGCCTGGGCCCTGCCCCGCCCCCTAAGCCTGCCCACCCATTTCTCCTTCAGGAACCAGTCCAACGTGCGGCGGATGCACACAGCTGTCAAGCTTAACGAGGTCATCGTCAAGAAGTCACAGAACGCAAAGCTGGTCTTACTGAACATGCCAGGTCCACCCCGCAACCGGAAGGGGGATGAGAACTGTATCCTTTGCTGGCCGCTGGCAGCCGCAAACCCAGCCACGTGCCCTGTAGGCCCCCTGCCAGGGGTCCCCATCTTCCTGCCGTGGGTGTTGCTGGCTCTGGGCTGTGGGGCCCTAAGGCACTGGCTGAGTGCGGCTGAAGGGGGAGCCCAGGCGTGGGCGGGCAGGGGGTGCTAGGGATGAGGGGCTGCCCCAGTGGCACCTCCCTGCGCTGCCCGATGCCTCCTCCCACCCGCCAGCAGCTGGGGTAGCGCCATCAAAACATGGCAGTGGTGCCCACTCCCACCACCTGGCAGCTTCTCCCACCCTCCCCCACTCCAGCCTCGCTAGGCTGGTGAGACAGGCTGGGCCAACAGGGCTGTGGCTGGGCCCAGGCGGCCCCTGCCCGCCGCCTGCATGGGAAACACCCACCCCTGGGCATTTCAGCACCAGTGCCCGGCTCAGCCGTTAGCACCACACCCCCTGCTGGGAAGAGGCAGGGTCATCGGCACAGGAAGAGCAGTGCCATGTGCCCGCCAGGAACAGACCATACACAGACAGCCGTGGGTGCGCGCACAGCGACACAGACACACACACACAGCTGTGGGTGCTCGCAGAAACTCCACAGAAAACAAGAAAACCCCCCACTTCGTCACATCTCTCCCCACTTCGAGGCTGAACGGAGCAGGGTCGCTTAGCCAGTGACCTGGGGAAGTTCAGGGTCCCCACCCCGCGATAAAGCATCCGCTATAACATTGGCACTCCCCCTCACATGGACCACTTCCATGTCATAGCCCTGGAGGAGCAGGGCCCACCTCAGCAGCTTGGCATTAGCCCCTTTCATTTGGTGCAGCCACGTCGGGGCGAATGGTCGGTGTACACGGTGAGGCGCCGCCCAAATAGATATGGCTGCAGTTTTTTAAGGGCCCACATCATGGCCAGGCATTGCTTCTCTATGGCCACATAGTGCTGCTCCCGGGGCAGCAGCTTCTTGCTCAGGTACACAATGGGGTGTCTCTCCCCCTTAGTATCAGTTTGCATCAGTACCGCCCCCAGCCCTGTGTCCGAGGCGTCAGTGAACACCAGGAAGGGTTTGTTAAAATCTGGGTTTACCAGCACCGGGCCCTGGATAAGTGCCCCCTTCAGCGCACAGAGGGCCCTCTGGCACTGCTCGGTCCAGACCACCTTGTCCGGCTTTCCCTTTCGACACAGCTCCGTGAGGGGTGCTGCCAGGGAGCTAAAGTGTGGCACAAACCTCCGGTAGTACCCCGCCATCCCAATGAAAGCCTGGACCTGCTTCTTAGTCTGGGGGGCGGGCCAGGCCTTGATTGCCTCCACTTTGGCCGGCTCCGGCTTCAGGTGGCCACTTCCAACCTTGTGGCCCAGGTATAAAACTTCTGCCATCCCCACCTTGCACTTTTCAGCTTTTATGGTCAGTCCTGCATCCTGGAGGTGACCCAGCACCCTCTTTACCTGGCTAAAGACACAGATATCATCAATATACGCTAGTGCAAAGCCCTCCATCCCCCTTAGTAACTGATCCACCAGGCGCTGGAAGGTGGCAGGTGCCCCCTTGAGGCCGAAAGGCAGGACCAGGAACTCGAAGAGCCCTATTGGGGTGGTGAAGGCGGACTTCGCCCTGGCCTCCGGGTCCAAAGGCACCTGCCAGTAGCCTTTGGTAAGATCCATGGTAGTGAGGTACCGGGCACCCCCCAACTTGTCTAGGATCTCATCAGTCCTGGGCATGGGGTAGGCATCGGACACGGTAATGGCATTGAGCTTCCGATAGTCCACACAGAACCGGATCGACCCGTCCTTCTTGGGGACCAGCACCACGGGCGAGGCCCAGGGGCTGGCGGATGGCTGGATCACCCCTAAAGCCAGCATGTCCCCGACCTCTCTCTCCAGGTCCTGGGCTGTTTTCCCAGTGACCCTGAATGGGGAACACCTGATGGGAGGGTTGGTTCCCGTCTCCACCCGGGGGACAGCCAGGTTAGTGAGCCCAGGCCGGTTGGAGAACAGCTGCCGGTATGAATGCAGCACCTCTCTGATCTCTGCCTGCTGGGCAGGGGTTAGCTGGTCTGAGAAGGGAATTGATTCTAGCGAGGGGTAAGCCCCAGCCTCAGGGAGGAGTCCCACCAGGGGGTCCTCTCCTTTCTCCTCCCACTGCCCACACACAGCCAGCACCAACTTCTCCCTGTCCCAGTACGGCTTCATCATGTTGACGTGATACACCCGGTGGCTGTGAGCCCGGTTGGACAGTTCCACCACATAGTTAACCTCGTTTACCTGTCTGATGACCGTGAAGGGGCCGTCCCAGGCCGCTTGCAGCTTGTTCTTCCTCACGGGGATAAGGAGCATCACCTGATCCCCGGTAGCATATGAGCGGGCACGTGCTGAGCGGTTGTACCAGACCTTCTGCTTCCTCTGGGCCCTTGCTAGGTTCCCCCTAGCCAAGCCCATGAGCTCCACGAGCTTTTCCCGGAAAGTCAGTACATACTCTACCACTGATTCCCCATTGGGAGAAGCCTTTCCCTCCCACTCGGCCCTCATCAAGTCCAGGGGACCCCTCACCCTCCTCCCGTACAGCAACTCGAACGGGGAGAACCCTGTGGATTCCTGGGGCACTTCCCTATATGCGAACAGCAGGTGGGGTAAATACTTGTCCCAGTCCTGCGGGTGCTGGTCCATAAAGGTTTTCAGCATCCTCTTTAGGGTCCCATTGAACCTCTCCACCAGCCTGTTGGACTGAGGGTGGTAGGCTGAGGCCCAGGTGTGTCGGACCCCACACTTCTCCCACAAGCACTGGAGCAGGGTTGACATGAAGTTAGAGCCCTGGTCTGTAAGGACCTCCTTGGGGAACCCCACTCTGCTGAAGATGGTCAGCAGCGCGTCTGCCACGGTGTCTGCCTCGATAGAGGACAAGGCCACTGCCTTGGGGTAGCGCGTAGCAAAATCTACCACCACCAGGATGTATTTCTTCCCTGACCGGGTCACCCTGCTGAGGGGCCCCACTATGTCCACGGCCACCTTCTGAAAAGGCTCCTCTATGATGGGCAAAGGTCTCAGCGGGGCTTTACACTTATCCCGGGCCTTTCCCACCCTCTGGCAGGAGTCACAGGTCCTGCAATACTGTCGGATAGCGTCGAAGACCCCGGGCCAGTAAAAGTTCTGCAGCAGCCTCTGCCTGGTGCGCCTGATGCCCCGAAAGGGGGATATCGTGGGCCAAGAACAACAGTTTGCGGCGGTACCTCTGGGGAACCACCAGCTGCCTCCCGACTTTCCAAGATTCAGTTCGCCCTGAACCAGTCCATTCCCGGTACAGGAATCCCCTCTCCCAAAGGAATCGCTCCCGGCGGTCCTCCCCCTGGGACCCTGCACTGCCGTGGCTAGCCAGGGCCCTCAGTTTCTCCAGGGAGGGATCCACCTGCAGCTCCGTTTGGAATTCAGCTGCTGGGTCTGAGGCTACAGCCCTGGCTGGTGGCACCTCAGTTTCCCCACCCTGGGACGGAGGCTCCAGCCCAGCCCTGTCGAGCCCTACCCTCGGCGCTTCAGCCCCCCCCTCGGGAGGTCCCGCGCCCCTTGCTGGCTCTGGCTCCGGGTAAGGACCAGGGCGCTATGAGTGCCATCCGGCCAGTTCTCCAAGTCTTTACCCATTAGCACCTCGGTAGGCAGGTGGTCGTGCACCCCAACTTCTTTGGGTCCCTCCTTAGGCCCCCATTTCAGGTGTATCCTCGCTACAGGCACCTTGACGGGGGGCCCAAACACTCCCCTCAGAGTCAGGTAGGCATCGGGCACTAGCTGGTCTGGGTCCACCACCTTGGACCGCGCCAGCGTCACCTCTGCACCCGTGTCCCAGAACCCCTGGACACGTCTTCCCCCCACCTCAATGGGGATGATGTGGCGATTGGCCCCCGGGGCCTGTCCCACGCTCACCCGGCAGATTGGGTACGGGTGCTCTGGACCTGGGGCCCCGCCTTCCCCTCCTGGCCTGGCGATCCCCTCCCCCTGGCACAGCCCTCTCGACTGCAGCCCCTGGGCCCGGCGGTGCCCCCTCTCGGTGGGCTTCCACCCAGTTAACACCCCGCGGGTTCTGCTTGGCTGCCATTTCCTTCATCTTCAGGCACTGTGCCACCTTGTGCCCCTTTTGGCCACAGTAATTACACCTCATGTCCCTCAAGTCCCACGATGGGGTCGCCCTGCCCCAGCATTCCCGGGCACCCCTGAGTTGGGCTTCCTGGAGTCCCACCTTTGAGAGGTCTCTGGATGACTCCCCTTATGAGTCCCTGATGTGGGTCTCCCCCCTGCCCCCGATCTACTGTCCACGAACTCATCTGCCAGCGCCCCTGCACTGCGCAGCTCTTTGGGCTTCCGGTCCACTAGCCACATCTTAAGGTCCGGAGGACAGATGTCATACAGCTGCTCCAACCCCACCAGGTTATACACGTCCTCTGCAGTAGCAGCCCCTGCTCTCTTCCCCCACTTGCGGAGATATTCCCCCAGCAGGTTGGCGACTTCCTTGTAAGAGACACCTGGAGTCTTGCGTACACCCCGGAATCGCTTCCTGTAGCCTCAGGGGTCAGTTCAAACTTCAGCAGCAAAGCCTGTTTGAACAGGTCAGAGTCCCCCGTCTCAACACCATCCATTTGGCTGAACGCCTGTATGGCTTTGGGACCCAGCAGGGGGGTCAGACAGCGAAGCCTGTCTGCGGGGTCAATCTGGTTCAGTTCACAAGCCTTCTCAAAGGCTGTGAGATCGGCATCAATATCCCCCCCCCTCGAACTGGGGCAGCAGTTTGATGTCTAGATTCCCCAAACCACTGGCATCTCGGGGCCCTTCCCCACTTACCCCGCGGCAGGCCCTCTTGACCCGTCTCTCCTCCAACTCCAACTCGTGCTTCCGCTGTTCTACACGGTCCACCAGCCTCCGCTCCTTTGCTTTCAGCTGCAGTTCCAGTCTCCGCAGCTCCTCGAGGGAGGAACCTGTCTGGGGTCTCCCTGTACTGACTGGGGAGTCAGGTCTGACCCACTCCCGGTCACTACACAGACTGCCCCCACGGCTACTCCCCGGCTCTCCGGGCACCCCGGGAGCCCCCCTGGGTCTGGAGCCGGTTCCTCAGACGGGTCATTCTCTACAAGCTGAGCAATCAGCCGCTCCTTAGTGAGCCTCCCCACGCTCAGCCCCCTCTCCCTGCACAGACGGGCCAGGTCGCTCTTACGGAGCTGGTTCTAGGCCATTTCCAGGCTGGTTCCGTTCAATACCCTCGTTCTATCGCTGGCAGCCACTCACTGCAAAGCGCCTGCGCTCGCAGCCAACGTCTACAGGGTGCATCCACGAACCATCTCACTTCTAACACCACGTTGTCACGGACTCACAGATCGTGCCCACTCTTGGGTCCGTGGGGGGGTGCCCCTGTCAGTGCGACAGCCCTTCTCAGAGGTCCACTCTCTCTCGGGGTCCGGCCCCTCCACCTCCTGGAGCCGCACCTCTCTGAGCCTTAGCATGTCTGTCTTTTGCCTTGGGCCCCCTCAGGGAGTCCACTCGCTCTGGACCCCCAGGGCCTCCACCCCCGAAGGGGTTGACGCAACCCTGTTCTCTAGACTGGAGTGACTCTCAGCCAGCATAAAACAGGAGGGTTTATTGAGAGTTGAACACAGCACAGGAAACTCTCAGGGCCTCAGGCCTGGCCTCCCTCAGCCCAGCACATCCCAGTCTCTCTGCATCCAGGTGGGCTCTGCCTGCTCCCCCTCTCCAGCCC